TTTTCATATATCTGGTTTAGTTAAAATCTGGGAAGTCTCCTTTTATAAAGGGAGTGCTGCCCAAATTTTTGCTAATTCAGGGAGTTAGACMAAAGTTGAGCTTTGGGAAGCCAAAGTTACTTTCAAGATCTGAACTTAGCCTTGTATAAATTTTGGAATAGCACTTTTTTAGAGGGAGTGCTGCCGAAATTTCTACAAAATTAAGGAGATAGTTAAATTCAGTCTAAAAGCTGGGCTCGAGCCGTTGTTCGAATTCATATCTGACTTAGTATAAATCTGGGAAGTCTCCTTTTCTATAGGGAGTGCTGCCCAAATTTCTACTAATTCAGAGAGTTAGACAGAATTTGATTATCCAGAGTTACAGATTATTTCTATTTTTATATCTGACTTAGTATAAATCTGGGAAGTCTCCTTTTCTNGATTATTTCTATTTTTATATCTGACTTAGTATAAATCTGGGAAGTCTCCTTTTCTGAAGGGAGTGCTGCCCAAATTTCTACTAATTCAGAAAGTTAGACATAATTTGACTTTCCAGGAGTTAGAGATTAGCTCCTGCTTTATATCTGACTTAGAATAAATCTGGGAAGTCTCCTTTTCTAAAGGGAGTGTTGCCCAAATTTCTACTAATTCAGAGAGTTAGACATAATTTGACTTTCCGGGAGTTGGAGATTAGCTCCTGCTTTATATCTGACTTAGTATAAATCTGGAAAGTCTCCTTTTCTAAAGGGAGGGCTGCCCAAATTTCTACTAACTGAGGGGGTTAGACAAGATTTGGCTTTCCAGAGTTAGAATTTATTTATATTTCTTATATTTAGACTTATATAAATTATGGAGAGACAATTTTCCTACGGGAAGCGCTGGCAAATTTCCTTGGTTTAGAGGAGATAGATTGTATTTTGACAGGTGGTGATTCAGGCGATCCACCCAGAATAGGTGAGAGTCTGTAGTTGATTTACCTTTAGCTTAACCATTTGTTTTAAAAGTAGACTTAAGTTTAGCTTATAAGGAGATTTTGAGGAAGGATGTATTATGGAATTGTATTCTTAGCTTGGGAATTGGTCTGTCGTGTGTTACAGGCTCTGTTGATCTTTTGATTCAAGATCAGGATTAGATCCAGCTTGATCCCTTGAGGATCATCATCTGTTATCACTGATAAGAGGTCGGTTGCCGATTCGTCGGTCTACGACTCAATTTCAACTCTCCCTCTACACTCAACCTAAAAGTCTTTAGYCCAGGTGATTTTCGTTGTTTTATTAAGGTTTCACCCGGACTTTTATTGAATGGCCATTTAACAAAGGTACTGAGTATTTAATTAAGGTTGGTTGGACAGGGGATTTTAGGGCTTGTATGGCTAAAGCGAGGGGTATGAGTGTCGAAGGTGGTTGGGGTTGACTCCGTGTAGTGTGTGGACTGTTGATTTGTTTTGTTGATGTGATGACATGTATGTGCTGTGAATCAGATTCTGGATTTGGTTGCCTACTATCACACGTGCACGTATTATTGTGAGAGACCCCAGAGAAACTCTGAGAAGTGATCGTCACATACTTAACCCTTATATATGTATACATCGGCATGCTTGGGATGAATGTTTGCATGGGTTGAAGAATCCCTATATTAAAGCCCGTCCAGAAGCTGGGACTCAAGAACTTAGGGGAGGCCCCAACTTCTATTTTTATTTCTGCTTGTTGATTTTCTTAGTCGGACGTTGGTCCTGGGCTGGGATTCGAGGTCCTTGTCCAGGACATCCCAAGCCCTAGGCTCTGCAGGGGAGGGGCTTTCCCTCGGGCAGAGCCTATTTGATTTGCCTACCGAGACGCTCAGGGCAAGAGCCTAAGGCGTAGCGACGGCTGCACGACTATTTCCTTCAGTCGTGCAATGCCGTGAAGGGTTAGGCCCTCACGACACTTCAAGTCTGATACTTGAGTGTCATAAGCGGTACTCGGATCCACGAGGGACCGCTTGATTATGGGCACTACATAGTACGCCATCATTGCGACTGCTTGCGTACGTGTGCATTGCGAGTCGATATGAGTAGGGCCTGCGTCCGCGCGCTTTTATCCTAACTTTCGCGCGCCACGGCTATTCGATTTTTGCGTCGGTAAGTTATGGGACGGCTACTGAGGGGCTAGGAGCGTTGTCGCGTTGTTTGTGTCATGTCGTTTCATACGTGTGCGTGTGCATGTTTTTATGTTCTTGTATTCGTAATGTGGAGTGCGCGTGGTGTGTGGGAAGCGTCCTAGTCGAGCGACGATGAGTCGCGCTTGGGACCTCAGCCCCCCCAAGATGTCGGTTCGCGTACGGGTCCGATAGAGGCGTATTACCGCGCGTACCCCCTATGCTACAGCGAACGAGAAACGCCCTCGGCTGGTCCACCTCTGCGATTGCAACTGATTAGCTTTCGTACTGTGGACTGGTAGCTCGGCGGGGATACGCCCACCGAAGGGAGGTGACAGCTCCCGTAAGGTGTAGGTAAGTCGTGCCTCGCGTAGGCCCTATCCTGTCGTAGGGGCTCGCGAGAGGTATGGCTGGCGCACCCGGCCGGAGCGGCTTGTGGAAGCTCCATGTATATTTGCGACGAAGGATTGTAAAAACCAACTCCTGCGTGACGCGGCCGGGAGGGTCCCGCGCTGCCCCCGTGCGGTGCCGGACCGATAGTGCGCCCGACACCGTCGTCAACCCCAATAAACCCCGTTCAGGGCAACTTACAACGCGAGCAATTTTGCGCAATACCAGGCCGCCGGCATTGAAGACGGACGGAGAAGTCCAAGCCGACGAAAACAACGGTCAGATTCATGCGGCGTCTCGAAGCCCTTCGGGATCCGAATTTGGGCGGTGCGGGAGTAGCAAGGAACCAGTTTTTGCGCGGCCGGTGTCAGTGGAACGGAGCGCCAGCGGGTGCACACAAGGAACGCTATCCTCGACCGCACAAAAGGAAGGCTCTGTAGCTCTCAAGCTGTCGTTGAACGTCAGCACACGCAGAGCAAAGGGCAGTGGTGGATGCACCACCACAAAATCGGGCGCAGCGCGACCCCAAACTGACCCCTAGGGCAAGAGTTCATCGAGATCGGACATCCCAACCTCGCAGACAAGAAACATGTAGAAACTGATGAAAGACCCCTCCTGCAACCCTTCCAAACCCCGATTCGGCCAGTCAACAAGGCGACCCCCGATTCGCGCGCCGGTAACGTTGAAGTGCGAAAGCGCGAACCGGAAACCAGGCAGAAACACGAGCATGTGTGTTACAAGAATCCGGGCACCGGGATGGTCAAAAACCTCTGGGGCCAACAAAGATCGACAACACACAGACAAGGGACACGGCAGCTATCACCGTGGGCAACCCCGACAAACCCCTCGAAGGGCATCTGAGAAGGTGAGCAATTTTTCGCACCCACAGTCCTCGCGCAATCAACTCACACTTGAAGCTCCAGGCCTCATGCGAGCACTTTTGTGTGCCCGGAGGCCTCTCGTAATCAGAACGCACTCAACAATCGTGGCCGTCGAAAACGGCGGTTAAATTTATGCGGGACCTCAAAGTCTGTCGGGATCCGAACTTGGCGCTTGCTGGACTGGCCAGGAACCGGTTTGCGTGGGGGACGACGGATATTTGGATAACCGGTGTGGAATTGCACAGAAGGAATGCTAGGCTTGGCTGCATGTTCAGGGAGGCCCTGCAGCTGCTCACAAGTGTTTGTTCCGACAGAGCACGCAGAACAGAAATGGTCGTCGCAGGTGCACAAGGTCGGAAATTGGCGCAGCGCGGCCCCCAATAGACCCCCATGGACCCCGATTATCCTCATCGACAAAGCGAACAGTCGTGCAACCAGGACTCTAAAAAGATCCATGCAAACCGTAAGCGTCTTATTTCAGCGATGTGGTCGAAACAACAATAATCATCCGAGCAGCCCGCGACTTCGCATGCTTCAGATTGCAAGTCCGTCGGGATCCGAACTTCGTCGCACGCTGAAAACTGGCATGGCGTTTTGAACTATCGACCCAACGCCCGAAAGGTGGGAACTGTGTCCCGCAAAACGTAGTCATCAGGGCAACCAGGGATGGCATTGTGACCGCGAACGAGAAACCAACAACCGCCAAAAAAATGGGAACTTCGGATCCCGACGGACTACAGCAATCGTGCGTTATTTTCGCACCTGCGCGTGCTCTTTCTGCGGCCGAGCGACCACAACAGATTGCTGCTTTCGCGAGAGCGCTGCGCATGATTGCTGTAGTTCGCCGGGATCCGAACTTCCCATCTCGCCAGGCAACCACACGCCACGCGCCGTTTTTCGTTTGGCTGTTGTTGGTTTCGAGCTTGCGGTGACAATGGCGACCCCCCTTGCCCCGATAGCTGAGACGTTTCTCCGAGGCGGCCGGATTGTTCGTTACTGAACGAGGAAATGCTTTCGTGTCGAGGTTGTCGTCACGAAACATGCGGCGCTCACGCCGAAGAAACGCCATCGTCATTACAGCGAGCGGCGCAGACGTTCTCCATTGCGCGCACGCAACGTGTGCGTTCTTCGTTCTGGAGCCCGCGGATGTTGCGCGCACAGTCCAGGCATTTGTCGTGCGGAATGCGATATCGCATCCCTCACGACCAGCGCCAGGAGCGCGCGCTCAACATCCATGGCCTGTATGGTGGATCATGTGCACGTTATGTGCGCGGGATGGAGACGACAACAACTCTCCTGGGATTGACGCCAGAGTCTCTTCGGGGAGGGAGGCTCAAGTGTTGCGGCTAGAACACAAATACAGAACGACGACCCCCTCCTGTTTATGAATACCTTACCTCTCACTGCACGCCACGTTGACGGCGGACATCCTTCCCACCGTGGCCACCGCACGACGCTTAGTACCAACAGCGGTCGCGCGCAGCCCATGCATCTCCTTTGTGATAACCAGCCTCTAATCTCTTTGTTGAGAACAACAAACGAGCGAGGGAAGTGTTTCGAAGGGGTTTCGTGTTCTGCTAGGAATAGGCGATTTCGTGTTTGCCTCGACCGCGCGGGAGTGGTCTGCAATGCCCAGCTTGTGGTCAACGACAATTTTTCTTCAATGCCAAGCCAAACAAGAGTCGTGGGGGCGGTCACGTCGATCGAATGAGAGAGCAGCATAACGGGACATGCAAACCGTGTGCCCCGATGCCCACGTCATCCGTTCCCGCCGTCCCAGCCACTTGCGACAGGTGGCACGACATAAGGACAATGATGACGACGGTGATGAACACGATGACAGTGACGATTACGGTGGTGATGTTGATCTGGGCGACGATGTCGCTGACGATGATGACGATGTTGTTGATGATGATGATGTCGATGAAGATGTTCGTGATGATGATGATTGTGATGACGACGATGATGATGATGACGATGATGACGACGATGATGATGATGACGATGATGACGACGATGATGACGATGATGACGATGTTGATGATGGCGATGAAAACGAAGAGGACGATGGTGGTGATTTCGATGACGGCGACGATGTCGCTGATGATGATGATGTCGTTGATGACGTTGATGATGTTGATGATGTTGTCGATGATGATGACGATGTTGATGACGTTGACGAGGTTGATGATGATGTTGTTGATGATGATGATGATGTTGATGAAGAAGATGATGATCACGGTGACAATGATGGTGATGATGATGATGATGATGATGAAGATGATGACGCTGATGGTGGTGGCGACGATGATGGTGATGATGGGGGTGATGATGATGATGATGATGGCAAGCAAGAATCACGGGGCCGCTCGAGACTTGAAACAGGTGGCGCGACGCGGCCGCTCCGGTGGGCCGGCAAACATGCCTGATACAAGGGCAGGCAGAACAGCACTTCACCTTGAAGAGGGCACAACGCACACGATGGCACTGCTCTTTGACGGCTCACAGTTCTTCGAGGAGGCGCAGTTTTTCGACGACGGCGAAGCGCACACGATGGCGCAACTGTTCGACAAGGGCTCAGCGCAAACGGCGTTGGCCACTTGCTGACGCAGGACGCAGAGACGAGATGTCGAAGCGGAGACAACCGAACCACAGACGACAGTTGTCGACGAGAGGAAGCCCCTGCGCCCACGCCCGCCGCCGCCTGGCGCAACAGCGGAGCAGAAAAGGCGATGGAGGATGTCGCTGACGGGACGCCGAGCGCGAATGCGCTCGTCGGGCTCGAGATGCGAAAAGGCTGCCCCAGACCCGCGGCAACTGAGCGTCAGACTGTCGTCGCACCCCATGGAAAGACCCGCCTGTGTCCCCTCGCACGGCCACGGACCCCGCTCGCCAGCCAGGAGACGCGAATTGCCGCGAACCCCTCCAACCTCCCCTTTCCCCCTGCCCCCCGCCCCCCTCCCC